GCTATTCTAAGCAGTGCAGTAACGGGTAACCATAGAGCATTTTTACACTACCTGTAGCATATTTCTAAGTGTTCCATCTAACTGTAGAGTATTTCTGAAAGTCGCTGGCTGTGTTTCTGAATATGTGCTCCTTTAGCTGTCCTCACTTCATTTGTGCAATGGTGCTTCAACACCCATTTTGATACATGCCTCCAATTAAAACAGACCCAATGAGGTCAGCTATTTGTGACCAACTGACGCTGCACTGAGTGGATATATCATTTACTGAAATGTACTTTGACGTGTATTCAGTTTCCAGAAAGTCTTCATCCACAAATCATCCTTCCATAAGCTACTGCCATCCAAATACAATTTATGTTACCATTAACATTTCTCTAATAAGCGTGATATGTATAATTGTGCCTTCAGGTTGAGCGAAAATTTAAAATATTAACCAATTCCAAACTTCAGGGCCATAATAACTTTGCTTTTTCAGTAGTAATATGCTAGCAAAGGAAAACAATCTTTTGTTGTTTTATTTTTGCTTTATTTTCCTCTGTGGTCCAATGGATGGACTTCAGCGGTCTCTTGGTTCTCTTTTAGCCACACAAATTCTGAAACCCTCAAATATAAACAAAATTCGAGTGCACATACTAATAAGCAGCTGCCTGCGTGTTTTAAAAGGAGCTACAAGTAATCTAATCCCATTCCTAACTGTCACTTGTAAAGAGGAAATATAAGCTCATATAGATCGCTGGAGGACATCCACTGAGAGTAGAGGCTCCTAATCAGCCTGAGAAGCCCTCCGGGCCAGAGCCACTTTGCCAAAGTCAGGAACTGTCTTCTGGGCTCGTAATGTTACCAACATAGCATTTGCTTTAATGAAAAAAATAAATCCTAACATCAGAAATTATGCTTTGAAAGATTGTGTGTTGGCATATAATCAGTGCTCTTAATTTAATAGTCCTTATATTTTCAAAATATTGTGGCTAATCCCCAAATGAGACCGTGCAGGTATTCCACAATTCAGAAGGAAAAATGCATTTGAGAGGAATCCTAGGACATCAACATGCATTTGAGGTTATGAATCATCATCTGTGCTCTGTTCTCCTTTATGAATGTCTTTATTCCATCACCTACAAAGGCTGGTGCCCACAGCTGGTGGATCTCCACAGAATGCCTTAGGTACTCAGGTTCACACAAGTTCTGCCATGTCAGTTGTTTGTAGCCAGCTTCCATTTTCCATGATCACTTAGCTGGTCTCTGAACTGTGTTGGTGATTCATTACCTTGCCATATGCACTTTTGCATTTAGTGCTGATGTTAAAACCTAGGGTCTTGTAGCTCATGTCTAGAGAATGCTCTGGTTTGAAGCCGTGGATTTTTGTGTGCTTCTTTTCTTCCAGTCTCCCTTAATAAATAGTAAATCTCATTTAACAGTGCCTGCACAAAACCATTAGAATTGAAAGTAGCAGAAAAGATGAACTACTGAAACATTTTTTCATTCTCCATTAATTTTTTCTCCTTTAAATCTTCCACTCTCTTTTCTCACCAAATGTTACTTGACGCTGTTGAGAAGCAACACTCATGACATCATTTTTATTTATTTGTTATATTTTTATGCAAGGAGTCTTTTTAGTAAAATGCCATTAAAACATGGATATGAAGCTATAAAGATGTTAATCGTGACAGTTAACAGTAACTTCGAACATTGAAAAAGTGATGGGACATTCTGGTTCTGAGAGCTCAGTGTTTTAAGCTTCCCAGCTTCAGCACAAAAGGCATTTTGGGACATATGTGATCCAGAAGGCCAATCATTTAAAATCCTATTTCCATTTTTTAAGCCATCTCTGGCAGTCTGCACATTCCAGAAATTGCAAGTGACACATTTCACAGGGAATTATCATCAATGCCTTTTCAAGGTCAAGCATGCCCTTCTTTAGACTTTCAATATTTATAATCTATATATTAAATCACATTTCGTATTTTAAAAGGCACTCAGCAGACTCATTAAGTAATATTAATTGATTAAACCATGTTCAGTAATGCCTTGCTGAATTTTCTCTACTTGACATCAAGTTGCACAATAAAAATAACTAAAGTGTGTGTTAAATTTAGATGTGGGTAATCTGCATTTGCTTTCATCCCTGGAATCCCAAAATGTCTGAGAGTGGAATTCATGATGGCCATTTCCCAAATACTAAAAATACATGTCTGACTGTGACTCTGTAAGGTGGACCAATGCCAGAAATGCTGTTTGCGGGAAGAATAAAAGATGATTATCATTCTTAAATTTCCATATTTCCTTGATACTGGTTCTCATATGAATGGAACAAACTTGAACTTGGTCGTTAAAATGCGTATCAGACTGGGTCACCCATAATCAGTATCAGTTTTGTCACAGATTATGTCAGAAATTTTACTCCCCCCTCCCCACGGATTCAGCATATGGTTAACTTCTTTTGCTTTTCTGTCTTCTACCTCCGACCCCAAATAATAACCAGAGATGTCTCTGTTCTCACACTGTACATCAAGATGAGCTTTGGGAGAGGCAGTTAGAGATGTCAACAGCAGAGAAGCCCCTGCTTGGGTTCTTTCCCATCTAAAGATATTTACACATAAAATTAGAATTCCCAAATAAAGATTTGAGAGAGAAAGAGCAATAAAGAATGAAAAGGCTTATAGATAGTAAGAAGCATACCACATCTTTCAATTGCTTACACTGGGGAAAAAGGATAATAATAATAGTAATAATAATAATAATAAACATGGTGTTGGGGATAGAATTTGCCTCTCCAAAGTTTGGGGTATGTTTTACAGATGACTACCTCCTATATGTATCCCAATTGATTTTTATACTAACATCTGAATATACCTTCAATAATGAGGCTCTACTTGCATGTGAGGTCAGGGGGTGCACTGGTATGAATAACTCCCCTTTGACTTGCTTGAGTTTCCGAGGCATACGACAGACTTCCACCTTGATTTGCCTTCTCAGTGAATGAATCTCTAGCTGGAGTTTGTCCTAACTCGGGCACTAGCTCTTTATTTCAATTAGCACCTCTAACTCTACTTAACCTTTGGAGAAATAGACTCAAAGAATTTCTCAGAAAACCTGCCCTTCTGTTCTTTTTTCTTCAGTTATTTCCAGGTACTGTGCATTTCCCATAAATGTTACCCCCTCCCCCAATTTATTTCCTGATTAAAGCTTATCCTACTGGCCATAGAGAGCCAAGAGGGAACTTTAATCACACCTCAGTAACTAAGCCATCCACCATGGCATCCCTTCCTGTCTGATCACTGAACCTTCTTGTGCTCCATTCAAAATGCATTAAGTTCCTCCCTACACACCTACTCAGGGATATTTTTACAACTTTCCTTTCCTAGAGCACTAATATTCTCTATGATAATAATCATTCATATCTGAGTTTTTAATATGCTAATTTCTTCCTTCTTAAAGGAAGAAAATGTCAAAATATCAAATCAACATTGACACCAATTCCACTTTGTATATTTTTATTTCTTTTTAATCTCACTCTATACTTTGCTTCAAATTGTGTCTTTGACTCTTTCATGGGTGCATAATGTGATGAGATTTTGTCCCCATAGCAAGAACATCATATTGGTCATATCAAGAACGATACCATGTTGAAAGGCAATGGTTAGTCTCAGTCTATTTAAATGCATACAGAAAGGAATCAACTACTGCTTTTAATGCCAAGATTGAGAAATTGTAAGTATCAGATATGAAGTGACTTTAGAAATCACATGAATCATTTAGTTTTGAGTTTTAGAAAACTAAATGCTATGAAAATACAGTGAAATTATTACACACCCACAGAAATCCAACAGCAACATTTCACATTAAAAAAAATGTCCTAAAACATTTATTGTGCTATAGAAAAGAATTTGTGAAGTCAACTAACATCATCAGTAATTAAAAAAAAAAACAGAATAACTGATGGCAAAAATATTAAGAATAAACACATTAAATTAAAAATGCTTAGGAATTGTATATCATTACCAACATTTTTATCTTAGCAACAAAAGGTATCACCCTTTTAATAGTATATGATGAAGAGTAGACACTCTCCATCACCTTCAACATTTCCTTCTCATTCTTTGTTTCCAAATCTCTCTCTTCTGTTAGCTAATTAGAAAATTACATTATGTTATTCAATTTCTTTATGTGTAGGAAAAGAGCATGTTAGACTAATATTTTCTTTTCTTAGAATCATCCTGTTGACAGAAAGCACATAAAATACTGATAGCATATTAAATGAAAAATCCACTAATGAAAATATCTTACTAATCAACCCATTGAAGAAAGAGGACTATCAAACAGAACCCATACTTACCTTTATCACTTGCAAACAGCAGCATTCTTTCCAAAAACCTAAGCATGTGATATTACTTCCAGTGTCAATTTCCTAAGAAACCTACCCTCAATTTTGAAAGCAGTGATATTTTGCCCTTTCTTTTGTAATAGTAGATTCTGCACCATATAAGTTATAAGCCTGAGGTACTGGATACAACATAAGAAATGTCACAGAAGTGAATGATTCACCCAGAACACAGATTTCTACCCGTCTTTCCACTCACAGAAATCAAATGATTTATAAAAGGACATGAACTATATCTTAAGGCTAGAAACTATATACCATGATCACAAAATGTAGGCCTTTTCCTCAAAGTTTTCCAATTAAAATGTGAATGTTGAGCAGGAAATTTTATTTAGAGGAAATTTAATTTTTCTCTAGTCCATCCGCACCTTTCTATGCACAGAGAACAGAAAATAACTTTGATTAAGTAAATAGGTTTTTGTGAAGGCCAGCTTCCTGTCAGCAGGATGGCTGGTGTTTTTGTACGACTGCGCATTGTCTCATCAAATCTGATTTAACGTTGACTTGCCCCTTGTAGATCAGATGACAACATCATAGTCTCCCCCACACCCTTACTGTGGACATCTCTCACATATTTCCCTAAGTGTTCACAGATCAGAATCCTTTTATTTATATTTACCGTTTTATTGCTTCTTCTTGCCTTCGACGCTTCTCATTCTTCTCTTTCAAATAAGCCAAGTTGGTTTCATTTCTCAAACGATCATTCTCTCGCGCAATGTCTGATGCGTTCTGAATAACCAAGCCGTCGTACACCTTCATTCCCATATCCTCAATGTACTGGAGAAATGTGTCCAGAGGATCTTCTTCGGGATTAGAACTCATCATCTTGGAGGATATCATGCAGAAAGGAGTATTTCCTGTAAAACGGGAACATATTACATGTAGGTAAAAGCAAAATGTTATCTATCACCTCTTATGTTTTGCAAACTCTCATCACCAATGAATATGGCAGACTCCACTTGTATAAAGTATCTCATTAGAAACTACAAATAATTAAGTTGTTTTACATGAGTATTAAATGTGTATTAACCTGTGTAACAAATGTTCCTTAAATCATTAACGTTAGTAAGGCAAGGGCCAAAATTTAATGTGGTAAGCATTGCATATGAAGGTAAAAATCTGATTTTTCTCATTAGAATAATGTTTATGGCATTTTTATACCAGTGAATATATCTGTACAAGCATTATCCATGTATCATCTTGTATAAGATTTTTCTGTTTAATTTCAAATAAAAATATATAATTAGTTTTATGAAACTGAACTATCTGTGAAAAATATGACCATAGTGAAAGAAAGACATATCTCTGGACAAGGAGAAATAAAATGGCAGGATAGGGTTAAGAACATGTTTAAGCAGACAGATAATCATTAGACAGAATGAAGCAGAGACTCCAATCCTAGGAAAGAGGAGCGGACAGGCCAGTGCAGAGAGACACCTGGACGTCTGTGGACACAGGGAAGCAGCAGAGACAGAGCGGTGTTGCAGTTATCAGATACCTAAGCAGTGGTCAGTAATTTGCGATTAGAGCCCACCAGATTGGCCAGGTGAAAAGCGGAGTTCACCAGGAGTTCAGGAGGTGAACCCAGGCATAAAAAATGTCCATTCTGCTGATTTGCTCGATTCAACCATGAGCAGAAGCTAAGTGGCAGAGCTAAAGCAGGCAGGCGCAGGAACAGAGTGGATTTCACAGCTCAGACCCCCACCAGTGTCACAGCAGCACCATTCTGTGTACTAGCGAAAAAAAGTTATGGGGCTTCAGGAACAGCAATGAGCTCTGCGTACACTAAGCCGGGAGTCTCATGAGGAAAGCGGTGTTAACAAAATAACCTACAAGTTTCACCCAAGATAGGTCCAGGTAGCACCCAGACCTAACGACCAGCATGACCAGACCTGCACGAGTGCCACACTTATCAAAATTTTGTGTGCTGAGGACAATTCTGTGAGAGGGGTGCTGCAGGAACAACAGTGAGCTCCGCACATGCTAAGCTGCTGGAGAACTCATGTTTGCTCAATGCACTGCAGTGGTCCCACAGGGAAAACAGCACCTACTTGGTATCCTATAGGTTACACTCAGAATATGTCTGAGTGAATTCCATACTTAAAAGCTAGCAGGCTCAGACCTCTGCCAGCACCACACTGGGCACCATTCTCTGTACTGAGGAAAAGGCTGGGCAAAGGGCTGGGCTGGAGAAATAACAGCGAGTTGCACAGGCACTGAGAAAGGAGACAACTCACAGCTCAGTACATTCCATCACTTACACAAGGAAAAAATACCGACTTGGTATGCTATGTCTGGGTGGCCTTCAGACCTAACAGCTAGCAGGTTCTGCCAAAAACAGCACCACTGATCATCCAGTGATTCAGTCCAATCGGAGTCTCCCGAATCCTGGGCACTGCTCAAATTGGGAGTGGGACAAAGGCTGCACAGACAACCCTGGTCATAGCACCAGATCACAGGGGTAGAAAATGGTGAGCCAGGATGTAAGGGCTATGGAGAGCCCTGGACTGAATTCACTGGAGGGAGTGGCACAGCTACTGCAAATGAAGAACCAGGTACTGAATACGGTCAGTAAAATCAACCTATAGGCCATTTGACAGCACAGTTTAGAAACCAGTCCTAAGGAGATGAATCTGCTAGCCAGAATGTCAATGACCAAGAGCAAATTTAGAGACAGAGGCACAATGAATATTACTGATGCCTCACCTGCAAAGGAGCAAAAGCCATTGTCAACCTCAGAATTAACTGAGAAAGACATAGAGGAAATGGGGGATGAAAATTAAAAAAAAAAGTTATAAAACTCCTTAACAACAAGAAGCAAATACAAGAGATAAAGGAATTTAAGAAATATTTCACACAGGAAATAGCAGCAATGAATTAAATGAAAACTGATATATTGGAAATTAAGAACACAATGGAACAAGTTAAAAATTCAATGAAACATCAAAATGATAGAATGAGTAAGGTAGAAGAAAGAATCTCAAATTTGAAGACATTTGCTTCAACAATGGGGAAAAAAATCAAAAAGTTGAAAGAACACTGAGTCAAGCTAAGTATTCAAGAATTAAGGAACACTATCGAAAGGTTAAATATAAGAGTTATGAGAGTTCTGGAAGGCACAGAAAGAGAAGCTGGGTTTAAAAGTGTTCAGTGAAATAACAAAGGAAAACTTTGCCAATTTGGAGAAAAAATTGGGGAGCAACTTATTGGAGGGGCACAGAATTCCCAATGGTGTTGAGCAAAAGTGATAACCAAGCTCTCTTCTGTTGAACACAGAGAAACGATCCTTAAATATACACATAAAATATCAATTGGCATGTTGAGAAATCTGAATCAGACTCATTGCTGACCCTTCAGAGGAAACAATAGGCCAGAAGAGAATGGAATGGCATACTCAAGATTACAAAAGGAAAATATTGCCACGCCAGAAAAATTAACCCAGCAAAGCTTTCCTTTGTGTTTGAAAAGCAAGAAAATTCTCCCACAGCAAAGAAAAGCTCAAACAATTTGCCTTTTCCAGACCTGCCATACAAATGATACTTAATCATGTTTTATTGACAGGGAAAAGGAATAGCACCTAGCAAAACTAAAGAAATTTTTGTAAAACGACAACAGAATACTGAATCAATCAATGAACAACACATCGTTAAAATGGCAGGACCAAATTACAACCTGACCATATCAACTCTGAATGTAAATGGCTTAAACTCATCAATCAACCATCACAGATTAGCAGACTGAATCAAAAAATTAAAACTCATCTATCTGTTGCCTACAGGAGACACACCTCTCTAACAAAGACATGTGGAAACTGAAAGTTAAAGGATGAGAAAGATATCCCAAGCTAATAGAAAGGAAAGATGACTTGGTATAGTCATTCTTACATCAGATAATATAGACTTTGACATGGAAAAATATTAAAAGAGATGAAAAAGAATATACATAATGATCAATGCATCCATTCTAAAAGAAGAGGTCACCTTACTAGTTTCTTAGGCTGTTTTTCCTTTTTCATCTCTAATTTTCCTTGGTTTTTCTCTTTTGCTTTACTTTGCTAGACTGGCTAAAAGTTTGCTTTGCTCATCTTCTTTTTTAAAAAAATGACTCTTGTTGCAATTTGTAGTGTTTTAGTTTCAATTCCCTTTACTTTTGCTGTTATTTTTCATCATTTCTTGCTTTTTTTTCATTTTTTAGTAAGTCCTTGAGATCCATGATCAGATCATTCATTTGAAAGATTTCCATTTTTTCATAATTATGTGATGCTACAAATATCCTTTCACTGCTCCTTTTGCTACTTGTCGTAGGTTTTGATATTTTTGTTTTCCTTTTATTTATTCAAAAAAGTTTTTTGCATGTTAATTTCTTGGATGATGCAAAAGTCAGAGAGTAGTATCATTTTCTTCAAGAAGCTTTTTGATTTTCTTTCTCATTTCTTCAGTGACACATTGGTCATTCAGCAGTATGTTATTAAACCTCATGCTGTTGTAAACTTAATTATTTTTCTTCCTGTTGATGATTTTGTTTTATGGCTTTGCATTTAATGGAATATTTAGTAACTGTGTAATAGAGACTATCATATCCAGATGTGAAGATACAATGCAGTATGCATCTCTACTTCCAAATCAAAGACGGACTCCCAATGAAACTGTTAAACATATCTTGACAATAAAATGCTGGACTGTACCATTTCCCACACCAGCAATGTCAGGATACACTTAGATAGCAGAATGGTGGACTTAATGAATATAAAGGACTATACTGTTGTAATAATATAGGGGAAATCAGTGCGGAGAGTGTGAAGAGAAAATTGGAGAGGGTAGAATCCCAGCGCCTGTGGAACTGTATCATCAAATAATAAAATAAATAAATGAATTTCCAAAAAATACACATTTCTAATACAACTGTCTAGAAAATTATTTCCTTTTCATCACTTACTATTTTTTTAAATTTTATTTTGGGTGATGTTTACATTGTTGAGAGAGGTGCATACCAAAATCCCTTAGTATTTTCTATAAGATCTTCTTTAATGGCTTATATCACAACTCAACTGCTATAGATCACTGATCACCACAAGAACAATAGTATTGATCAGTCTTGTAATTGAAGCAGTGATAACTGACATTTCATAAATGTTTAAACACATTACGCACATAAAGATCACTAAGAAACACAAATCAAGTTAAAATGGCAAAACAGCATAGGGATTTAAATCAGTACATATTACTGTCATATGTAAATGATGGTGATAATAACTTATGCATATTGCTGATATGGCTATCAGGAGAGGTGAGGACTCAAAAGAATTTAAAGTAACATTCAAAAGCAAGAAGTATATTATGATGTGAACATATAGTATCATAATGCAATATGGAAGGAAGATGGGCTGCAGTATTTTTATTAAATTGTTTTGAATGGGGAGATGAATGAATGGATGGATGGATGAGTAAGAAGGCAATGGATATTAGCCAGCTTTGAGGTAGAAATTTCTTAACTAATGAAGAATCAATGAAACTAAAAGGTAATTTTTGCTTTAATCAAACAAGAAAGAGAATCAAATTTAAATGATTTGCATAAAGTATTGTACTCTTCTTGTTTAATAAGAATAACAGTTCTCTATGCATAGCCACTGAAATAAAGGACACTGCTGTAATTGAACCAGATTTAAGACTGAAAAAATCAGTTTAGCAAAGAAAAGTAATGCTATTTATAAGTTTATAATTATTTTATAACTTTGGCCTTCCTCAAAAGCTATAGAAATGTATTTTGAAAATATCAGCCCATCAGTTTAATGTGAGTCTTTTCATTTTGTTCAGTTATAAATCATTTTTATTCTGCCTTCTTTAACAAGCATAATAAT